GGGCGTGAGATCGAGACAAACTTGTTCTATTAGATAACTTTTTTTTTTTTTTTTTTATCCATTGAGCTCTTCAGCAGAGATGACTTCTAAGCGTTTGTGTTATGGTTCGCCAGCGCACGATAAATATGCTTTGTTCTTTCAACATCGGGCTGTGTTGGTGGCTACCTGGTTAACTAGCGTCTTGACTCTGTCCTGTCGATCTTCCGCTTCCCTTTTTGAATGACAAATATAGACTATCGCAGTCTACTGGTATGCAGTTATTTCCTCTCAAACAGGTCCAGAGCGTACGCTCTAGTTGGCTGTGGTCTTTGCAATGTGTCCATGTACAACTTTTTAGCTGAAACACAGGAGATGTGACTACATATCAGTCACCCTTCACCACTAGTTCTTGAATGTAGGTTTGGCGTGTGTGCACCTTAATATTACATATGCATATGATGCTCACATTTATGTCCTTGGTCTGGACCAAACAAACTACTTAAAGTGTGAAAGCTCCCTATAACTGAATTGACGTGAAAGGTTGAACTGTTACAAAATAACAATTCAGTCTAATGAACAGGCAAAAAACTCAGATAAAACACCGGCTCACCTTTTGCCGCTGCATCATGTTAAGTAGGTCTCCAAAGGGCGACTCCTCTGGGTTGTCGAAGGCCAGGAGGGCTAGTGTTCTCTCCATCTCTGTCAGACACTCGCGGCTCTCCTCCCCCTGCTCGGCCAACTGCGTCTGGGCAAACTCCAGCGCTGACTCAGTCTCCCTTAGCCTGATTAACTCAATCAAATGTTGCTGCTGCAAGAGGGAAAACACAAGCAGTGAATGTTGAAGTTCAAGCTTTGTCCAATATCACAATGTTTTCCTGTTTAACTACGAAAGAAGACAAAGAACATGATGTCATCATGTATGACAGCAGTCTGGGTTATTACCTACAAGGGACTGAGGGGATTAAATGTTAACATTTTAACACCACTGTTACTTCGGCTTAATCTCACTGCTGTCAAGGGAAGATGTGCTCTTGCTTATTTCTAAAGTCTGAGAAGTTCACCAAATCAGATCTCAGGCTCACATATTCTGTCTACCATAATCATGACTTGCATTATATCACACCGACAACTTTCCAGTTCACAGGAGGCACACACTAAAATCACAACTACTGACTGCAAACCTCCACGCCAAATGTACCTGCAGATGAAAATACAAGTATCGATTGGTGTCGAGCAGCTCAGGGTGTAGGCTGTTGATGAGTGCAATAGCTTCTTGTATCTGTCCCTTCAGGATCATCTCTCTAATCTTTATCCTCTCATCCAAAGAGTCCAGGTCCACACTTGGCTCAATCCCAGACTCCATCCGAAACTTCTCCGCAGCCTCTTTGAACCCCTCTTGAAACATGTGGACACAGATACAGAGACAAAGACATTAAAGACAGTTAACTTATGAGTATATGGACTGGTACAAGTTGTACATTGAGCTCAGAGTCACTGCAGTCACGCCTCACCTGTCACCAGGTAATTCATAATGAGCCTGTTCATGTCCGCCCTCTGTATGTGAACATTGTTTAATTTGTCCATCCACTCTTCTTTTGTGATGTCCTCTGGCTTTTCAGCATAACTCATCATTGGGATCCTGGAAAGACAAAAATCCAGTGGAAACGTGAGCAAGACTGACACAGCTTGGTCACAGTTTGTACCTACACGAACAGAAACGTTACAACCGTGCAGAGACAGATATTAGGAAATGAACGCTAACATATGCTACTGGCAGAAAAAATGCCGAAGTAATATCTAAACAATAAACACGATATTTCTATGATTAAACAGCGGTTGGTGGCTTTCTAACACCGCTAAATAATAATTAGGAGATTCTCCGAGGCTTCCAAAACAAACCCATTTCCTCCTGGGCAACAGCGCTGGCTAGTTAGCAGCCTGTGTGCGTTGACACAACTCACCGTGCAAACACAACGTCCGGCGACTGTCCTTTCTCACGGCCGCGAGGAGACGATGACGAGAAAATAAATTCACAGTTTGCCCTCGGTGCTTTTTAGGAGCAATAAAGGTGTAAACTGCGGCTACACTGTCAAGCTTTTCGCGGCTAGCTAACTAACCAAGCTAATGTGATAACCTCGCGATAGGAGCGTCAGCCCTGCGAGCTCTGTGATTGGTGGGGGCGGTGACGTCACGGTTGCCGAGGAACAGTACAGTCGGTGCAGCGGATGGTCAAATCTGATCTGCTGTGGGAATGTTTGTTTGGTTTTTTGGCCTGTGTGTACACCTATATATCTATATTATACATTAACCCATCTCCCAACAAGTTAAAGGAAATAATAGAATAATAAAAACATAAATGCAGATGCTCGATTGTTGACTAAATGGCTTGATGACAGTCAATATGGAGGTGAATTACATGCCTATGACACATTCACCAGATCTCAACCCAATTGAACATTTATGGGCAAAGCTGGGTTAACCAACCGGGCAAATTGGACAACAGCCCCAGGCCCCAGAGAGCAAGCAGCCAGACCTGCCATCATACCTCGTCACTGCATGCCTGCCTTATGTGGGCTCGTTTGTTTGCTTTTTAGTCTGTGTTCTTCAAATTCTGTGATGTAATGTGATTTTACTTTGTCATGCCTGTGCTAACTGCCTGCACTGCACGTCCTGTTCTGCATGATGCATGCCTGACTCACCTAAGCTTTTTGTCCTGTTTATCTGCTTCATGTTACTCTTTCTCCTGTTCTAATGTTGTACAGTGTGTGTTTTATTGTTGTTTTAATGACTATTTTAACATTGATCATTAGACAACAGTTAAATTTTAGCATTTTGGCCAACACAGGCCCATTTACAGGGATTCACTGTCCTTTAAAAGAAATAAAAAATCTAATAAATCCATATGGACCCCCCAAAACTACAGATTTACTGCATGTTATTGAGGGATTTGATGCAAATTTTGCTAGGGCAGTTGCACCTCCAAAATTCAACGTAAGACAAGATGGGTCCTGCATTATTAGCCAATGTTGTTCCCATGTTTTGCAGGAGGGGCTGTCAGAATCTAATTATGTCAGATTATTGGTGCTCACAGGTTGCATTGTCTGTAATAATGTGTTAATTGGATCACTAAGTAACGTAACAAACAAACAGAAAACAAACCCAGCCGGCAGACTAGAAGGTCAGTTTTGGACAATTCTACGAAATCCTGGGTTGTGTTCAATGACTTTAGATTAATATTTATATTCTAATATTTGTGCTGTCAATGAAAGGCATAAACAAAGGGTATGATCAATGTGTCAAGGAGGGCGGGGACTAATACTGCAGTCAACCCCTTGACTAAAATTGAACTTAAATATATTGTGAGCTCAAACAATGCAAAAGGACAAGTTAATATAAATATTGTATATGCATGGAAGTTGTGGTGCTGTAAGTGGTTTCTTAGCTATGGGTCAGTGAAGTACTGTCATTTGTAGAATTGGGGGATTGCACTCCCTGTGAATGATAATAGGCCCGACATTTTGACATAGTGGGAAAACCACAGGTGGTGCTAATAGTTTTGTTTGCAATTGCTGGGATAACCCCAGCTGGACCGATCTCATATGGATATTTCTTTGATGTTTCTACAACAAGTTTGGTTCTTGGAACAAAATTAAAATTTGAGAGATGTTGCACAAGACAAGATGGGTCTTCCAGGGACCCCTGGATGGTTCATGGCCCTCACACAGCTGCCTTACTGTCCTTGTGGCATGTGGCATGATGCCTCTGCTGGTGGACTGTCCCACTCACAAAGTCAGATGTCTGACAAAAGCAGAAATATTAAACACTGCATAGATACTCTAAGAGTTTGTCCCACAGGGCATCACTCTGATGAACACTTAAATCACTCATACACTGCCAATAACCCTGTAACATCAAAACATCTGCATGCTCCCATTGTAGACTTTATTTAGTTTTAGTTTAAAATGCATTGTTTTTTAAAATGTACATATCATCATGCACTGTCTCTGTCAATATAAATCCTGCACACTGCACATACAAAAGGCTAGACTTGTGTACATCATCCAGTCCTTATATATCCATTCAGTATTTATGTTTTTACACTATTTGTATAGTTTACAAGTTATAGAACACTTTACTTATATATATAGACTTTTTTTTTTATATATATACCTATTTTTAAGTACTTGTGTACATAATATTCCTGTCTGTTCTGCACCTTTATTTGTTCAGCTTTGTTGTCCTTATTAGCTGATATGTCTAGTTCTGTGTAAATACATTGAGAGCAATGAAAAACGGAGTCAAACTCCTTGTATGTGTAGGCTACACATACTTATCTTAAGTGCTATATCGTAGGCAACTGGACTTGCTTGCGTTTCTTGAAGACGTTTCGCTTCTCATCCAAGCAGCTTCTTCAGTTCTAAATGACTGGTACGAAGTTGCAGGCTGTGTAGGTGGGAACCCTTGCAGAGTCGTAGGGGTCACGTGAGCTCTTAGTTTCAGAGTCGTTTAGGTCACTTTATTTATTTGTGCAAAAACTGGTATAAATCGTTAATTTTTTTAATTTTTTTTTTATAATTTTTTATTGATAGCTTTAACACTGTCTGGTTACTTCCTGGTGTAACCTGTGGTTGCCTGGCAACTGCTCAGGGCCACGACAAATATATTTTATTTGACAAATAAAAGTGCAAAATCATAATTTTATATAGCATTTAATTATTATATGTTATGTAAATTAGTGAGCTTGTCTCCAGTCTTTGTGCTTAACTGCATAATTAACCGTATAATTAACGGACAGGTCGCCGAAACGATTAACCGTATTTTCCAAAATGTCGCACTTGCTTTACGTCTCTCCACTCGGTGTTAAGTGACTGAATGAGCAGTTTCTGTGTCTGTAGCAGCAGAATTCAGACTGACAGTGCTGTATCCGCACCCCCCTCGCATCCAGCATCCCCTCTCCATCATCTCAGTCCGCTTGTGCACGCGCACGTCGGGTCGCCATGGGGTGTTGGGGGGCGGGGCGGAGCCAGCGTACTGCTGCAGCTGTCCATGATTGTGTGGTGGGAGCCAGAGAGGGTCCGGGTACGTGCGAGATGCAGCCATAGTCACGCTACACTGTCTCAAACATTACAACCTGCTGGGATCGTCAGTGCTGCAGCGCATCAGAGCCGACTGAAAGGTGAGGCCGAAAGGTGCATTTCCATCTTTTATTCGTCTTTTACTGCCCCTTGCCCTTGAAAATTACTGCTGACGATCCATCCCTGGCACGCATCAAGAACAGGCCAGGAAGCGAACCAACATGGATGCTGTGCGCTATAGCAGTGCTGCTGATGATGCTTGCACAGAGATTATGCTCCTAGCATCGTATCCACACAGTCTAATCCTCCTTATAGACAATTTACAGCGGGATGCGACTCGTGTTTAAGAGGAATTTAACACACATGAGCCAGAACAGACAGTTTTTGGTAAAAAGGTGTTTAAAAAAAGGGCTTCAAATAGACTGGCTATTCATTTGTGTCAAGATGACACCCATTTGGAAGCAGCTATGTTCTCAGGAATGGCTTTTTCTTTTAACTTGCAGCCTCAATTTGCTAAATCTTTTCCTCTTGCAGCATGGTTGACTGTATAGATGTCAGTTAGTGATTTACTCACAGCAGCAGAGGCAGTCAGTGGTCCTGCCAACATGTCACTGTTACAGCTATGTAGAAATGTAACTGGACAATTTACATCAGAGGGGTGCCATTTACACTGAAAAACTGTGAACATTGAATTAGTGCAGCGAAATATGATAAATCTAGCATGTTGCCTTCATGGTTGTGTGACTGTTCCCTCTATATTTCAAACACAGCTGGGTCTCTCCTCATATAGCCCGTACAGGTCAGGTCTATTGACAGGATCTGACCAGCTGTTGCCTGCAGTCACACAGGCCTCACTGTAGTTAAAGGCCCCGTAATTCTTCTGCTAACAGATGTATATCATGATGAACAGACTATCTTAACACAGCAGGTCTGGTCATTACACACAGCCGGTCAATGCATTTAGTGCTCTGTTTGTGTGCCCAGCCTGTGGACGTGAGGCATCATGGCTGAGCATCAGAGGCAGCGCTCTCTGTCCACCGCTGGTGAGTCTCTCTACACCGTGTTAGGAGTTGAGAAGGTGGCCACATCCGATGATATTAAGAGATCTTACAGGTGAGCCCCCCCACCCCCCACCCCTCTCTGTGACTCAGCCTATCTCACTTAATTACCACATACACGTGTGCTGTGATTCTATTTTTGATATTTTACCGACTCTCTTCACAGGAAACTGGCGCTGAAGTTCCACCCTGACAAGAATCCTGACAATCCGGAGGCGGCTGATAAGTTCAAGGAGATAAACAACGCTCATGCGATCCTGAACGATCCCACAAAGCGTAATATCTATGACAAATATGGTTCTCTGGGACTGTATGTGGCTGAGCAGTTTGGAGAGGAGAATGTTAACACTTACTTTGTCCTTTCAAGCTGGTGGGCAAAGGTAAGACTGAGGATGGATTACTATTACATCTGTGGTTTCTCTTTACTGGTTATACTTCTCTTAAAGGGCCAGCGTGAAGGATTCAGGGGCATCTATATGTTTATATTAGTTTATAAAGACCTGAAAATAAGAATTGTGTTTATGTTACCTCAGCAATTTATATACTTGGAGTGGGTCCCTTGGAGGCCACCATGTTGCTCTACAGTAGCCCAGAATGGACAACTGGTTCTACATAGGGCCAATCGCGTCCTCGTGTTGGCCACTGAAATTAAAGCTCTGCAACCTCACAACTATATGTCACTAAATCCTCCACACTAGACCTTTAATTCTCGCTCACTCAATGGCGCTTGACTTCCTCCCGTGTATCTGCTCCCCTGCAGGCTCTGTTTGTATTCTGCGGCCTGGCCACTGGCTGCTACTTCTGTTGCTGCCTATGTTGCTGCTGTAACTGCTGCTGTGGTAAATGTAAACCACGGCCTCGGGAGGGCCAGGAGCAGGAGTTTTATGTGTCCCCCGAGGACCTGGAGGCTCAACTGCAATCTGATGAGAGAGGTGAGAGTGGCTCACCTGTGTCGACACCCCCACTTTGAATTTGTTAGAAGGAGGAGGCTGAAAAGTGACACACCCCTTTCCCTCCCTTTCCTTAATAAGACAGATATATTTAATACCTACACTGTGAATAATATTTACCTCCTCCCACTGGTATATATATATATATATATATATATATATATATATATCATAGTATGTTGTGTATTATTTATAGTAGTTTGTCTTCTATATAAATTTCTTCTGAAATTTTCTACTTCTACTAGTTTTTGGTAGCTTATGAGAATATTCATGTACTTTGTACCTAATATTAATGGTATTTAAATCATAATATATTTTGTATAGTATCCTTTGTCTTATATATAATTTTTTTCTGAATGTTTTGACATTTTGCTGCTAGTTTTTAATATCCTATTAAGAGAATATTCATATAATTTGTACTTAATATTTGTAGTGCATATATCATAATATATTATGTATTTTGTATAGTACCCTTTCATTTATATGATTTTTTTTCTAAAATGTTCTACTTTATTTTTTACTAGTTTTTGATATCTAGTTATGAGAATAGTCATGTATTTTGTACTTTATATTTCTGGTGTGTTTATGAAGATGTTTGCAGTCTGGATCTACTCATCCTTTGCTGTACTGTGACATTAATTGTATCTAATTATCTCATGAAATGTATTTTATATTGAAATTAATATTGTACAGGAGAATTTGACTTGCCATTATTACAATAATGCCATTATTATTGACATTTGTAGTGCACCTACTGGATTATTTGCCAATCAGCATGTAATTATTTAAAAGGCGCACCTGATGGGGATTAAGCACGCTGCAGATCTGATGAAGCAACATGTTGTTCAATTCTTTTCTTTTTTTAACCTCCTGCATGAGGACATTATTTTTTGGGTTTCCTGCACCTTATACTTCATTCTGTTTAACTTAGACCTGTTGTCCTCGTTCGTGGACACTTTTATGTGGCATATAGTGGTAGTAAGACCACTATACACCAATCCATGTAAAAACAAGTTAGCAGATATCTCTGCCAAGTCAATCTGCAGCCAGTCTTAACACAAAAGTGGACAAGGTGCAAAACCTGATCACAGTTTATGATTGGAACTTTAGTTTATTTATGATTAATGATGTTTGTAGTTTGATATGGCATTCATTCACTCCTGTTAGGGGTTGTGGGAGGGCTGGAGCCTATCCCAGCTGACATTGGGCGGGAGGCGGGGTACACCCTGGTGCTGTGAGGCAACAGTGCTAATCACTGCACCACTGTGCTGCCATATGGCAACAAATTTGACCAAATTTAGCATTAGTAAGAAGCTACGACACTGTTAATAAGGAGACACTCGTTTGAGGACACTGGGACTTTATTGTTGTATTATCGCAGCATTTCACACAGGCCGATGAGGTGTGACAGACTGTTCCTAAAAATGAAAAGGACGTTCGTAGCTTGGAGTTTGGAGCAAGAAACATTAATCTAGACGTACAAACCGAACAAGGCTTTTAAATATGTAATATGTATATGTATTGTTTGCAAATTTGTTTTGCCCCAACATTTCAGTGTGGCAATATGGTATCATCACACAGAACCAATTATCGATTTCTTTTATATAAATAATAATATTACAAATTAAACTTTAGGTAGCCTACTAGCATAATATAATCAACTGCTTTTTCAGTCCACTAGATACATTCTGCTGCTGCAAAAAGATGGCTGAGGTGAGATGAACAGACTTTATCTTATTCGATAAAACAGATGTTGACAAAGTTTTCCTTTGGGGACAATTTACAGTTGAAAAAAGGTAATAAATCACAATATATCGCAATATTTTATTGTAATACTCAGCAAATTGCAACATATTTAAAATCACAATCCTATTGTATCATGACTTAAGTATCGTGATAATATCGTATCGTAGATCCTCTGGTGATTCCCACCCATAACCCACAGAGTTACAAAACACTGAACAAATGCTGCACTGTTTGTCATTTTGTTTTTGCACCACAGTGATCAGGCATTTTATTATTACACAGCTATTAAAAATAAACCCAATGACCCCATATGAGGACAGATTTTTTTTCAAAAGCTACTTACTTTATAAAGACAGTGCTTAGTTTTTTTATGCTAGTTAGTTCCCACTAATTCATAATGGCTAGTAGAAATTAAACATACATACCAAACAAAAGCTGGGGTCTGAGGAAATTAAAATATAAGCTAAGTGTTAACCTGAGTATCCTTGTGTGTGCTGGAACTTTGATTTCCTTTCGGTTTTGCTGAAAACTGTCGTCTCTGTTTTGTTACACAGAGGCTGGGGGTGAGCCTATAATGCTGCAGCCATCAGCAACAGAGACAACCCAGTTGACATCGGATGGGCACCACTCCTACCACACTGACACCGGCTTCAACTAACCCCTCTGTTCCCGTCAATCCTGGCCTGCGGTCCTGCCTGCTTCCCTGCTCCACCTCCAGTGAGATGAACGAAAGGGGCAATCCATCTTTCCACTTCAGAAAGAGAGCCATGCGGAGGAGAGGGACTAGTAAGCATGGCCCATGAAAGGAACTAATGAAGTCACACATCCCTTACACCCCTCCCTGATTGGTCCACAACTTAACCCCCCCCCCCCCACCCCAACACCCTCCCTCCCTGATATGAGAAGAAAAGAGAAACAACTTAAGTTTCCTTTTTATGTCTTCTTTTGTATTTCTTGGCCTTTAACCACACAGGTCGCCTACCCCACTCTCCCTCTCCCACATTCTGCATCATGGTGTAGCATGCACTGTTTATAAAACATGGTCTCCAAAGTTTCTCTCATCTTTTGCAGCATTTTTATTTTGCAAGACTCATAATGTAGGTGCATACGTATGTGCAATATGTTCAAATGAGTACAGTTCACACGGCGGAGGAGGAGGAGGAGGAGGGTGGAGTTTATGTGATATTTTATGCTGGAGGAGTGGAGAGCCATGGCTCAGGGAGGTGCTGGTTAGAGAGAGATGGTCAGTGCCATCATTAAACCTTTCGAGAACAGAGTTGTCATTTATTAGTGCAATTTTCACTTCTGATTCACAATCAATGCTTTTGCTTTGTTTTAGTTGAAAACGCCACCTGCCATCGTCAGACCAACAGTACAGTACGCCTGTGTTTGTCTGTAGTGTGTTCCCCTGAGAGTTTTTAACGTGAATCATGAGGTTGTTAAGGCACAGAGCTTTATTTGCAGACATTTTTTTAATTCCATAAATGCCTGCTGACGTAATAAGTTATTAATTAGTATTGGCGTTCCATTCCTCTGCCTCGGCTTTATTTCAGCTCCTTTCTGCGGGATGGAGACGGCTTTCCTGTCTTTCCTGCAGCACTGAACAGGCCGCCATGACAGTTGTTTTCAAGATAACTTTCATGTGGGTTCATAATTCTTACATCTATTTATGGCAGGTTTCAGCCCAGGTGGATTTGTCATGTTGTCACGACTTTATGTTGATCTGTTGTTTTCAGACCTAACAAGAATCTTTGTTTAATTTTGTTGCTTTCTTGTCACATCAGCAGATACAAAATGTTGGATTCAGAAATTAGAAGCTTGTTAACATTCAAATCATGTAGTTTTTCGCAAGTGAAGGAAATCTTGTTTTTCATTTGTGTAAAGTTTGGTAAAGCATCTTGGTTATTGGAGTAATATGATGAATCGCTGCCCTTTTTTTTCTTTGTATGTTCATCGCAACAGCCAAAATAATACATTTTTAAAGACGTCACGACTAATAGAGACTGAAAGATATTCATTTCATTTTATTTTTCTTATTGATCTGGCGCCATGTGAAGCCAAGGAGCTCCAGGTAACCCAGCTGGCTCTGATGAGCTCTGTTCATAGGTAGAAACAACAGATCTCCATCAGCAGCCGACCCGGTTCAGAGGGTGACATGTTTTTAACTCTGAGTTGTCTTGAATATGTTAGGTAGTTAATGTGATGTGGAAATAAAAAACATGTTACACTCTTCATAGTCGGGAGATAAAGCTGACGACAGAGCATCCGCATGGGGGGATGTTTTAGGTAGTGAGAAATCAGATTTCTTCATCATGTTTTTAGTCCTTGTGTTTTGAACTGAAGTCTGATGACATTTCGTCCAATGCTGTGATCGTTTTATCATTGTCGACTTTTTTGAATCCATGTAGAGTAAGAAGCTCGTCAGGCATATCATCTGTGAGCTCCGCGCTACAGGCAGCTCCACGTGAAAATGATTTTTCATATGACAGAATTTGCATATATTGCCACACATTTTGCAAATTGCCATAAATTGCCATGAAGATCTTTGCCACTCTGTCAGTTTCATAAATGCTAATAATGTGTTCCAATGGTTTACAATTGGTGAGCTCCTGTCGCCCACCCTCTGCTATTAACGGTATGGATGTTGACCTCTGTGGCCCTTGTATGATGTTTCCTGTAACCCTTGATGAAACATAGATGTTCCTGTCATGGCTTTTTCATTGAGATACTGAAAAATGCTACTGTAAATGTTCTAAGTTGAATGCACTGTGTGTTTAAAAAAACTATAATGGATCAATGATCAGGAAACAACTCCACAAAAAGACAACATAGTATATAGTGTAACTATAGTGAAATGGTTATATGATGCATTTTTGGAATTTTATTTATTTCATACTTGATGATAGCTATAATTTTAACTGGTATGGTGTTGTAATGTAACCATTACATTTTGCAAGGAATGGTTTAATGGTTACGGTCGCTTGTACATACACTTGGCCCATATAAAGTATAAACCTTAACGTTTATGTTGTAGCATGGTAATTGTGTGTCTGGAAGAAAACAAGTGGATCATTGATCTGATTTGCTGTTGTTGAATAAATGTTCCTGAACATTTTGACTTGTGACCTTCAGTTTGTTTAGTTTGGAGGTTTAAATCTGAATGACTGGAGCTGTGAAGGTTAAGATGACTAATGTTTAAAAGCAAAGCACAGACAAAACTAGCCAAAAGCCATGAACAGTGGTGGCATTAAGTATGGATTATGGAGGAACATGCACATTTGCACATGAATATACAACCTATGCCAGGTCTGCCAAGTAATATATGTATTTAAAACAAATATTAAATCATTTATTAACTTATAGTGATGAAATGAGGCACTTTTCCTTATTAAAAACATTCAAATTAATATTTATGCAGCAGTTAGAAAGAATCAAATGTTTAATTGCCAAGTAAATTTGCACTTTCAAGGGGATTTGACTGTGTGATGATTTGGTGCATAACATTTTAACGACATTAACAAAATTTACAATAGAACATGAAAAATATACATATATGAATATAAAAGAATATTGAAGTAACTGTTTTTAAATGGGTAGTTTTGCAGAAATATACAAATTATTGCCCAGATGATGTAAAAGTTGATGTATGATACAGGTAGAAACATGGGATGATGGGGCATTGGTGGCTTAGTGGTAGAGCAGGCGCCTCATGTACAAGGCTGTTGCCGCAGCGGCCTGGGTTCGACTCCAGCTTGTGGCCCTTTGCTGCATGTCCTTCCCCCTCTCTCTCCCCTTCACACTTAAGCTGTCCTATCAATTTAAGGCTAAACTGCCTGAAAAATATCTTTAAAAAAAAAAAGAAACATGGGGTGATAATAATGATGGTAGGATATGAGGTAATGTGATGCAAAATGTAAAAACAATAATGCATAATTTCAAATTTTTTTGGCAGAATGCAACTGATAATGACATGGTATTGTAAATAATCCACTAATAATGATATTAATAATGATAATTTATACTGCGCTTTTCAAAATAAAGTTACAAAGTTCTGGTCAAAACATTACAGGACTGCAATAAGGAAAATAGAATTAAAATGAAAATAAAAATAATAAAAAATATTAGAAAATTAAAATACTACACAGAATAAAATAGAATAAAATGTCTAGCAATAATATGAGATAACGGCAATAATAATAAAACAAACAGAACATGTTAGAAATAAAACAGTGTGTTGAAATTGATTTGTTGTCTTGAGAAGTGTTTTAAAGGTCAGAGACACGTTTCTAACATTAATAAATCCTCATCCTAAATGTACATGTTGTTTTGATGTTTATCTCAGTGTAACATGATGCTATTACCACAGAAAACTAAAGTCTGCCATCTTTTTAGGTCACTTGCTTTGAGGTGAGACTTTGTGCTCACAGCACTGTGGTGACGTGTTTTGCCAGCAGATGGAGACAAGTCTTTCATTTTTGATAAGTTATTGTGGGATGCTGATTATAAAGGAGAATTTATATCCATTCAAAAAACCTCAACTTTATTTTACTTTATTTTACCCTCTTTGACTCTAAAATCCAGTTGTCTCATTGCTTAAAAAGGGGAGAATGTATTTATATCATCACAGGACAAGACAATGGGTCTTGTATTTCTCATCTTAAATGTCTTGAATTCCAGCCGTCCTGGAATTAAACTTAACACATTTGCTCAGGTGCTGCACTTAAGTACAATTTTGAGGTAGCCTACATGTACTTTAAATTCTATTTTATGCTATTTTATACTTATACTGCATCACCTTTCAGAGGGAAATATTGCACTTTTTACTCCTCTAAATTTATCTGACAGGTATAGTTATTTTTCAGATTAAAATTTTAAATATAAAACATGATTAGTCTGTAAAATATGATGTCTTATTATATATTACACTAGGTCCTATCAAACTGTGTATGAAATAGTGATCAATTACAATATGATGATGATGATGGTGATTATTATTAATATTATTATATTCTACAACTGTATATAACATCCTTAAAATAATGACCAATCATATATTAATATTAATAAAATATTATTATTACTACTACTAATAATAATAATAATAATAATAATAATAAAACTGGGGTCATTCTGCAAAATAAGTACTTTTATTTTTCAAAATTTAAGTACACTGTTCTGTTTATTTTTAATTTTGATTTAATTTAATTTAATTTATTCTGTTCAACAAGATTTGCTACCAGTTAGTTTGCTCAAGATTCAAGATTTATACGGAATAAAGATCAACTAATTAACTATGATGTATGACTGTTGCTGATTTAATACATGATATTCTGAGATGGGCTATTCTGCAAAATGAGTTGTTTTGGTACTTAAAGTATATTTTGATGCTAATTCTTCTGTACCACTACTTGAGTAAGATCTAAATGCAGTATTTATACCTGTAATAGATTACTCCTCCACGGCTGTATTGCACAACACCATGACACATGTAAACAGCACCAGTCCAGTGACAGTCTGTGTGATCCTCAGTGTTCCTGCCTCCTGCTGCTCTCTTAGTCCAGCTCACTGGAAGGTGTCAGGAGGCTGCTGCTAGCTAAACTACACATAACTACTCCGGAGCTGAGAGTGAAGCAGCGATGAACCGACCAGGTAAAACCGTCTCACATTAATTTCAGTTCATTTTCACGGTTATTACGGTTAGTTTGAGTCGACAGTTAACGCGTTTATAGTGTGTTTGTGATGCTGTCGACGGCGGCTAACGTTAGCTCCGTGAGCAACAAGTAACGTTAGCTGTTAGCTTCAGTTAGCGTCAGTTAGCATCAGTTAGTTTCAGTCAGTTAGCTTCAGTTAGCTTTCAGTTAGCTTCAGTTAGCTTCAGTTAGCTTTCAGTTAGCTTCAGTTAGCTACAGTTAGCTTCAGTTAGCTTTCAGTTAGCTTCAGTTAGTCGGGCAGATAGAGTGAAGTTCAGCACTAAGGACAGCTCCGACTGTGTTTAATGTTCAATATTATAATTTGTATATTTGTATATTTATATATGACAACCGTTACTGTTACTGCTTTAAGTACTGAAGTTTTAAACTTAGTTAGACAATGATTTTAAATAAGTACGCAACAATTATATGCATAACGTGAGGTTATCTATCTATCTATCTATCTCTTTATCTATCTCTCTATCTATCTATCTATCTATCTATCTATGTCCAGGTTATTTGATGTTTTCTCCATACCTGTTAAGTTTTTGGAGGGGCTACTGCATCCATTAACTTCTCTAAAGTGCATATTAATATTAATATTAATATTAATATTGATATTAATTCACACACTATTATCTAACAGTCTCCTTTATGCTTGTGGTAACGTATATACTTGTCCCCATTTATCTATCTATCTATCTATCTGTCTATCTGTCTATCTAATATAATGTAAATAATATGTATTTATAGTCACATTAATATTATTCCCCCACACACTGTAGTCTAAGAGTATCCTGTATGCTTGTGATATACTTGTTCTTAATAACTTTTTTACTCTATCTATCTATCTATCAAATATATATATATATATATATATTTGACTAATTAAATGTTTATTCACCTTTGCCTCTTTGAAAGGTTTTGGTGGGGTTTCAACCTCCATGAACTTCTCCACAAGGGTAACAGAAAATGGCTGCTCGCCCTCAGACCTGACAGAGGAGGACATAGATAATCTAAAGTTTGAACTTGCAAAGGTGATCCAGCTCTCTGGGACTAATAATCACAAAAGGTAAATGACTGCCATCTGTAAGCTGTTGTGCCTCAACTAATTAAACTGTTTTGTGTTTCCTCTCCCTGTTAGATGGAGGATGAAATTCAGACCTTGCGGCAGGTGCTTTTGGTCAGAGAAAAATATGCAGCAGACATCAGGAGGCAGCTGGGTATGGGTCCTCTTAGTAACATCAAACAGAACCTGGCCAAAGGCTGGCAAGACGTCCAGACATCAGCTCCGTGAGTGCATTGGCATCCTCATAAACATTGCATGTTCAGGCTTGCATATTCATTGTAAGGCGATGGTTGTAAACTCCATTACATGCCTCTGTAGTGTTACCTGGTTTAACACCAACCAACCTCTCTGCTAGTGGAACATTTGACACGCATTGTCTTAGTGTGACAGGGTTACATAACCATGGAAAGCACCCTAATGACTTCCATGATCTCTGTCTTAAGTCGGGGTAGTAACCTGCCAACTTGTGTGTGTCCTCCTCTTGTTTCAGATATCTCACAGCCTCTGCCACTCTGGAGGACATCAGCCACTCCAACGCGTGAGTGTTGGTCATCATTTTTGCATCATATCCTGAAAAAAAAAAAAAACTCTAAAGATTTGTACTACATATCATGGCGCAGGGGTTTCCCAGTGGTTTGCCCTGTGCTCACATGTTAAAGAGGATTCTCTCCTAAGAAACAAGTGATGGGATTTTCCAGGTCAAATAGGATCGGTGCCCCGTTAATAGCCTTACAGCCGGACTTAGCACAAGGAGCAGTAATATTAACAGGCAATGGCAGGACTAACCTGAGGCAGTTGTTTTAGTGAGCAGCCCCCTGCAGCCACATGGCCTGTAGCCACTGACGTATATGAGCCTGTTGTTCACAGTTTAATTTCTATTGTGTGTGTGTGTGTGTGTGTGTGTGTGTGAGAGAGTGTGAGAGAGAATGAGTTCATACCTTTGTGATCTCTGTGTATTTTAAGTGTCACATGTGTTTGCAGTGTTGTGACTTTCCTCCGATCAGGTCCTGACTTTGACTACTTCTTTCTACCTGTAGGTATATAAGGACACGGGAGACTCTCTCTCATGCAGGCCAGGTGACATCGACTGCACTGTCCACTATGGGCGTGACCCTCACCAGGAGACTGGCAGAGATGAGGTACCCCCAGCATTTACTCACCTACTCCATCCTAATTTCTGAAAAGAAAAATTTTAATCGTTTTCAAGTTTTATTTGTTAAAAAAATAAATCAGCAGTGAGTATTAACAAGCCAAAATGAGCAGAAAAAATAGGTTGAGGTAGTAGTTTTTAAAACACTGAACTCTGCATGTTAATGGTACAGAAGTTACCATTGAGGAGCCTGGTAAGTCCAGTATATA